TGACCATTCACCATGCGGCTCACAAATACGCAGTATAGATGGATATTGCCCCACCCCCCCACTACATGCATAAGAAGATGTTTAATGTTGTCTTAATCAGAAAATGTCTGTGGCCAGAGAAATGTATCTGAGTTGTACACTGATATGACTGAGATATATGGTTTGCTTTGCAGTATTTTCAATATTAATTCTCACTACATCAAACACAGGATTGACCCTGATTGTGAAACCTAGTAACTTTCATTCAGACAAAAATAATCTCTGCTTCCTGCTCTTACTAACCGCCCACAGTTCTCCCGTTGCCATAAGAAACACTGATCTTTCGTAAGCTGCACAGACTTTTTTCAGTTATTGATTTTTGCTTCTTTGTTGTCTTGAGGCATTCAGCCGTCTATTTTCCTGCTGCATTTAAAAAAAATGTTTTAAAAGTTATATCATGTTAAAATAAATGATAAATGCAGTTTTTTATTGTTGGTATACATCACAATTTAAATTAGTGCATTTATAATTCTTTCTCCCAGAAGGCTTTGTGAAACCGCACATATCAATGTGTTCTATGGATACAGTCCACATCTGTGGTGTCGCTGTCCCATTGGGTTTCATCATACCTCATACCTGATGAGACTTCAGGGAGTGTAAATGACTGAGTCAGTCCCCTCTGTCATTTCTGCCCCAGGCCACTGCTGCCTCATTATATTTCTCCCTTTGTCTGAGACAGCGGTCTTGCCTCTGGTGTGTATCACTCTGGTCTTTTTCCTCTCATCATGTCCTCGGTGTATCATGCTTTCTTGGTATTTTTTGAAGTAAAGAAGTGAAAGAAAGTCAAGACAGAAACTAAAAAAAAGAAAAAATCCAGCTTTTGTTCCTAGAATTGAATCAGTTTCTAATTGTATGATGTATTGTATTTGTATTTCTAATTGTATGATGCATGAAAAAAAATCCTGGGGGTCTGTAATGATAGCCGTCGTCACATGCCAATATAATTGATGACTTTTAAATGTTGTTCTTTAACTACCGAAATTGCATTTGGTTTAGTTCATACTGCGGCCAGATGATGTTTTGTGTTCAGTGCAATGCCATTGCGACCATTCAACTCCATTAATTTGAGAGACACAGCCCACGGCAGATTCTTCTTCTCAAACTTTTTTTTCTGAAGAATAAGATGTTTAAAGAGGCTCATTTTGACCAAGAGCTGCAGTCTAAGACAACATCCCAACCCCAGGATGCAGTCATTAGTGTGAGACAGGGTGGAGAACAGACTAATGAAGAGTCTAAGGTATTCATGTGGGTGCAGGGCCTCTGTCTTTGTCTTCCTATTTTAAGACAAAGACACGTGCAAGCTGACACCCTCTTTCACCAGCTTGAAGTGTTCCTCTTTCTTTCTCTCCTCCTGTCTTCACTCTTCCTCCTCCACATCCTTCTTTCTCAGTGTGTTAATCTTATATCACATTCTCTCCATCATTTTGTCATC